TTAAGTCAAATCTTTTAAAGCTCTCCATGGCATTCCCGATGGCCCTAAAGACCTTTGTGCTCCAGGCATGCAACGGTACCCCATAGACATCAATCTGTACAATCTCATCTTCTCTACATCCATTCCCAGGCCAGGTGGCCACAGTTAGAAAAAAAAATTCTGGATTTCATTTTTTTTTTCTTTTCCATTCCCTCATTAGGTCTTCTTCTACATCTTCCTTCCACCTAAAACTAAGCAAAAGTATAGAGGCTCCCATCCTTCGTGAAGGGAAGGGAGATCCATCATATGGATGGCCGAACCATGCAGGGTGGCTGGGCGAAATTTCAAAAATTTTTTTTCTCCCTTCCAGGAATCGTATTCCCAGTTTTAGAAAAACAACATTTTTCAATGATTGTTCTTGATTCAAACCGGATTAGATCTGAAACCAAAAGAAAGTGAGAGCAATACCTGATACGGAAGCCACACGTGTAGCTCCCAAAGTAGGTGTTCACGCCCAAAGAGGGTACCAAAACCCGCTTCCACTGAAGATGGTGCAGCTTGAGATGAAGCAAGTTCGCAGTGCAGTCCTTCAGCAAGAATTGCAATCCAACAACTTGTGTTGAGCAAGGGAGGTGAGCACGAAATTATATCTGATTTTCTTGCAAAAATTAGAATCAGAACTGATCTCTATTAGTTCAAGAATGGATGTCGAATTAGGGTTAGGGTGGCAAGAGCAGAAGGAGAGGGAGAATTGAGAGCAGTGTATAAAACTTGGAGCAGTTCACCCTCCTCCTTTTATATAGATCTTAAAGAGTTGATCTCCTAATCTAATTAGGAGTTTCCTAATCCAAATCTTTATTTGGATTTGGACTCTTCAAGTGGATAAGACTTATCCTCTTATCCTTATCTGCTGATCCAAACCCATATCAATACCCAAATTCGCCCATACTAATTAATCCAATTAATCTTTGGGCATCAAGTAGGTGGCTCACGTCCCTTTATTAATTGCTAGCTAACTTGGCTCTCTTTGTATGGCGTGGGACCCTAACATTGACCTCACAAAAGCCACATGGGTTCAGCCTAGCCAAATTCACTACTAAGCACAGTGAACCCCTGAGTCCATCAGTATGGGCTCTTAATGGGCCCAACATTTACAATAAATGGTCCTTGAGTCCAGCCATCTTATGAAGGCCCAAGGACTATGGTCTTAAGTGAGATTAGCCCATCAGGTATAAAAGCTCTAAATGGTCTTACACTTAACCTTTCATCCCTTAATGATCAAACACTGCCCGACAAGAGAGGACCTCTCCCTTGGCTACAAGGTACAGTGTTGCACTCTTTGCTCGGATGGATCCTAGGAATTAAAACCTTTTGGTTTCCATCAGAGAGAGTAAAGGTAGTTTTGGTTTCCATCAGAGAGAGTGCAATCCCCGATCATTCACTTTGTCCGACAAAGGGGCTGATCCTATCACTATGATCACCCACTCGAGTGAATTCTCAGACTGCCCCAACATACCTAGGTTTTGACCCCCAAATGATCTCACTGATTGGCATATCAAAGACAGCCTAATCCGACACCCAGTGCAGTACCATAATCGAGTCTAGGGGTTAGGTGTAAATTTCTAGTTTTGCCCACCAGTCTCCAAGGTCCAAGGCATAACTGGAAAATGGTCTGGGTTCATTGTTTCAAGCAAACACACACTACATGTGCTTCGGGTCTAACCCTAGCAACTGAGACAAGCTACCCCAACCGACTTGGCAGCACATTTGTGTTAGCTTTGGCAGGAAAAACCTCCCCAGGTCTATCCAACGGCTGTGAACATTCTAAACTAACACGAGTCTCATAAGTGTCCAGTTTAAGGGTAATTACACAGAAACACACCAGATATTACATGAATCAATTATGTACTTTTATTCATTTACAATAAATGTCTAATGTACATCAATCTGATTGGTGCTAAGGGCATACACTATCTAACACTTCGAACATAAGAAAAGCTTAGATCTCTCCATTCTTGGCTCACCCATTTCTCCCCATCTCTTATGTCCGGGTCTGCATGAACAAATCTGCCTATCAAGCATCTATTTAGGAATTCCAGCCTCTCTTCTACCTTACTGCCATCCCTAATGGTCTCCCCTCTTCTTGTAATCAGTCTCAGTTCTAACCACGATGTCACTGCTGTTCCTAAACCATTGTTCAGTTCACCTCGCACCTCCAGCACTGATCTTTCAACCTCCTTCCTCATTTCTAGAAACCCCTCCAATGCCCCCCAGATCTGGTTTTCCTAGGCTATTGCCATCAAAATTTAGCTTTACATAGCTTTTCTTAGGAGGAATTTGTCTAGTTCTGGGGACTGTTGTGAAAGGTAATAAAATCTCCAATGTCTTCACCCAATGAGCAATTTTGATAGATATATATTATAAATTGTTTTCTCAATAGACCTCTCCTTGTTGCTAAATAGGTGAGCATTTCTCTCTTCCCATACGCATCATAGTACAGCAACTTTTTATCTCAATTCTTATGAGGGGAGAAGTGTGAGTTAAAGAATAAACTCCTTAAATCTATAGGATTGACCTGCTACCACCATACTTTGAGAGAAAGAAATTCTGCATATTAGATATAAAATAGCAAGGGATTAGCAAGTAAAATGTGCTTTCCTCATTTGCTTTGCATTAGGAGGCAATATGTAGTGTGAAAGATAGTATTTTTAACCCATCAATCCATCATTGACACAGCTGGTCAAAGCATTCAAATGGTCACTTGATCACAATAACAGTTCAGGTTAACACCTAGCCACCCGTCTTTACTCAAACTTAGTTAGAAACCTAGTGGCTTGGGGAACAATGATTTAGAAGGTGCACCTTGCCTAGGTCCTAGGCACAACACTTTCAAAAGGTGTCCTCTAGGTCCACATTGCACTTCAGACCAGGAGTGCACCTTTTGGATATTTATGCATTTTGCTCTTTTTAAGCTTGGTGGATGGGCTGGGGGCTCCGCCCTAGACTGGCTCACCCATAGCTGAAAAACATGATAATTTCAATATGCTTATCTAAAACCATTATAAAAAGATAATTTTGTAATACAAGTATGGTATGCTTGTGAATTTAAACTATGTATATTCATTTCTATTGTTAATAAAAATACTGTTTATTTAAGAAGTCTATCTTTGTTTAATATGATATGTTTATGATATTAGATGCCTAATTTTTTTTGACAATTTTTTTTTGTATTTTCTATACTTTTTGTTTCTATCAATTTTTAGAGTTTTTATTACATAATTATGACATCATTTGTTGACCATTTGACTTGAAAGAAAAAATGATATAATTTTTGGTAGCCTTAAATTTCTCTTATGTTTTCATAATTTATTTGTAAAAATAATTATTGTTTATCATACTTATCTCTGTTTAATATGACAAATTATAATATTTGAGATGTGTTATTTTTTCTATAAGTTTCTTATTTTTTATTTTTTTATTTCTATATATTTTAGTAGTTGTTATTTAATTATGACATCATTAGTTGACCCATTTTATAAGTAGTTGAATGATTAGGAGTGCAAGTTGTAGGGGGTACAAAATGGATCAGATCATGATCCTATTTGAATTCGAATACGATAGGATTGAAAAATAGGATTGAATTCGAATCACCTATATATATTGCACTATTTAATTTGATATTTTATGTTATTATGTTGTTTTATAAAAAGACGTGTATATATAATAAAAATGGTTGAAACAAATGTTTGTGTTTTTGTTTTTCTTTGTATAGACTATTTTATTTCATTTTTTCCTACTAATAATTTGTTAAATCTTACAGACCTATGGGTAATCAAATCGGATTCGGATATTTGACATCCTCAGTAGCTTTGAATTTGAATTGTGATCTTCTTGAGATCTATCATCGGATTGGATATAGGATTAACATTATTGTTTGCATCCAATCTGATTAGTTTGCATCCATAGAAACTTGGTCAGGTCAGGCCTAATATAAGTTCAATCCAAGCCCAACCCTAAGAATTGGGTCTAAGGCTCGAGCCCAAGACTTATCTGTCCAATCCAAGCCTAATCGCATTGGAATTTAATGCACCTGGGTTGGGCTTAGGCTAGGGACCGGGCTCATGTTGCTAAATCAGCCCTGACTATAATAATAGTATAATGAGCTAGTGAATAGTATAATCAGCTTGGGCTGGGCTTAAGCTACCTAAGCTAGGTTCAAGTCCAACCCAAAAAAAAATAAAAAAATAAAAATCGAAGCCTAGCTCATCTTAAGAGGGTATGTGGCAATGACTTAGTATGGTATTGAGATAAGCGGGAATACCGGATGCAACCAATTAGGGTTAATGTTCGAGGAAAGTAGGTTTTTAATAGTGAATGTGGAGGTGAAGTGTTCACATATGATTATTAAATTAATACATTTTGAATGGTGTATGTGGAGAAAGTATCTTTAATGGCTTATATTGGTTGATCACTTTGATGGAAGTGTGAGTTGATGATTTGTAATATGATGATTAATACAGCTTCAATTGTTTTAATTACCACTTCTATAAAAATTCCAGAAAGAGAGACTCATTTCCACTTTTATTAGTATAGATATAGATGTTTGATTTTATTTTTACATTTCCATTTTGAATATTATGTTTAATAATTTTAATTGATGTTGAGAACTGGGATTAGATCCCAAGTCTGCCGCAACCAGCCAAGACCTTACTAATTGAGCCAGTTGGTACCGTCAAATAGTTAAGAATTGTAGAATGAAGTCCAGACAACATTGACCCAGACGGTCGGACAATTCGGCTCGGGAACCATCCAGGCAACCGGTTCTTGTTACTTTTACTACACCTCATTTTTAACTTTTACATATATGAAACTTATTCAGTCAGATTAAAGATTAGATATTTAGATACATTATTGCTACCATTTAGTTGGGCTTATGGAGTTTGCAATGTATACACACAAGATCAACATTCAGCAAGAGTCTTGACAATATATTGCATTCTTAACCTACTTTCATTTTGCAGTGACATCGATCTTGGTGGTCTTTGTTAAGATGTTCAATAAATCGCGTGAGGAAAATGTTAAACTGGCTGATGCTGAAAGGAAAAAACTGGAAAAAGAAGCAATGAAAGAGCGGGCAAACTCTTCTGCAAGAAAAGAAAATACTGATAAACTTGGTTCTCAGAAGCACATAAACTGAACAACTTGGATTGCAGAGCAATACCGTGTTCGTGGCAGATGTCACATCTAATTAGTTATCCATCTGCCACAGGCACGGGGCACGGGAATTCGTAGGGCTATGTATTATACTTCTCCAAGGTTGAAATTATCGCATTGCTCTCCATTCCATTAAATGTGCTTGTAATTAGATTTCTGCTGAAATGCATTGTAAAGTATATCTAATGGATACATATGTAAGATCCATTTACGCCTTCAAGGCAGATTTCTATATTTTTTTTGCTCTCCATTCCATTAAATGTGCTTGTAACTATTTTTTTCTCTTCCGTCCAACGGTTGCCCTCAGGACTGGTACGGGATAGCTAGTGACGAGTCAGGCTTCATGGTTGGTATCACCATCTTGGGCTGAAGAATAGCAGGCGGAGAGGCTCCATGGCTGGTATCATTGGCCCTGATGAACTTGATCGAGGCCCCGACTTGATAGTAAGATACCCATTTTCACCAGAGTTGTGCGCGTACGAGGGGGATGGTATCCACCATCTTGGGCAGAAGAATAGCCGACGGAGATGGAGGAAGTTGGGATTTATGAGGAGAGGCGGGAGGGCATTTACCAACGATGGCGGAGACGATTCAACACCATCATTTTTACCATCGCCAACTCGATTAACAACACCACTTCAGCTTTTGTCGTGTGATTCAGTCCAAACCCTTTTGATATCTCAAAGCAACAGACATCTGGTCACAAATCAAGTAGAAAAGTGCCACTCTGAAAGTCCAAACCCTCCTTCGCTTTTCAAATAATTTGGGCAGAATGTTTACATCAGTCTGCCAGTGTAGTCTAATCTTCCTCGATGTCACCCTGCTACTGTTGTCTAATCTTCCCCGAATCTGGCCTTCTTCTTTGTTGAATCCAATCATTTGAAGTTTGGGGGTTCTTACAGGAAAACCAGAAGAGGGTTCCACCATCACACTCCACTCCGCCAAACACAAGACCACCCAATCCCCCATTTGAGTTGAAGATTTCCTCAATACCACCAAAGAAAATCTAGATAACAAACAACTATGAAAAGGTGTGGGTGCCAATGCTGCGGGACGTTATAATCTCATCTCGAATGTGTTGGGGAGGGAATTTCCAGATATGGCGGTTCTGGGAGATGCATTTTGTCAAAAGCTATTGGACGCCATGATGTGTTTCTCCCAACTGTCATGAATGATGAAGAGTAAAATAAATAATTAAATAAATATCCAAGCTATCTAAACCAAACCCAACCCGATGATAACCCTAATTATTGCACTTGAGGAGATATTTCAACTTACTAAATCAAAATTTATAAATTATTAGGCCAATAAATGAGAGATAAATAAAGAATATATAAAAATTTCTTGGCCAGGGTTCAGACTATATATAAGGGCTAGGCTCAGGCTTAATATCTAGGCCTGATGGTTGCATTGGGATCGAACTTGGGCATGAATATGTTTTGTTGATAAAAATACAAACCCCGGCCTAGCCCATGAACAAGTTAAATTCTAACCCAGACTTAACCTATTGATAACTGTAAAAATTAGGCTCATTAATAGAGAAACAATTTGTTAGTAAAATAAATTAATAATTGATTAAATAATTTACTAAATTACAAATACAAATCTATGCATAATAATTTACTTAATTATGTAAAATAGATAATAAATAATTTACTTTAATAAGACAAAAAAATATTCATTTATTATTGGGGCAGGACTCGTCCAAGTTATGCAGAACCAAACCTGAACCATTGACTACCCTAAAAATTGGTCGTGAGTTGAATTTAATAAATAAAAATTTATAGAGAATAATTCACTTTAAGTTATTAAAATAAATAACTAAAACTTAAGTTATTATTGGGATGGGACATGTACAGCCTATCCCACACCAGAACTAACTCATTGATAGCCCTAAAAGGGAGAGAAAATGAGAAATAATTTGTTTGTGAAATAAATTATTAATTAATTGGATAATTTAGCTATGTAAATAAACAAAATCTATGGATGATAATCTACTTAATTTTAGTAAATTAAATAAATAAATATCCAGTCTATCTAGATCCAAACTCAACCCGTTAACAACCCTAAATATTGAACTCAGGGAGGGAGAGAGGGGAAAATAATGTCAATAAATTTAAATAATTTACTAAATTCAACAAATAAAATTTTTAACACAATAACATAAATATATCAATAATTAGGCGAGAAAATGAGAGAAAAACAAAGAATAAAAATTTCCTAACCACGCTTTGGGCTTTAAATGAAGGTCAGGCTTAGGCTCAAGATCTAGGCCTGATGGTCGACCCAGGCTTAGACTTGGGTTTGAATCTGTTCTGTTGATATAAAGACAAAGCCCAATCCGGACGTAGTCGGCCCGTGAACAAGTTAATCTCAACCAAGGCCTAACCTATTGATGGCCCTTAAATATTAGGCTTTGGGAGAGATGGTGAAATAACTTATTAGTTAAATTAATTATTAATTACTTGAATAATTTAGTAAATTAAATAAATAGAAATCTATGGATAATAATTTACTTAATCTTATAAAATAAATACATCAATAATTTATTTAATAAAAGAAATAAATATTCATTTATTATTGGCCACCGGTTCGAATCAAATAATTAAAATTGTGTAATAATTTAGTAAAATAAATAAATAAAATTTCATTTATTATTCGGACAGGACAGGCACAAGCTATCCCACACAAGACCCAACTCAATTCATTAATTGAAGATTTCATTAAACTAAATCAATATAATTAAACTAATTTAATAAAGTAAAAAATAAATAAATAAATATCCTATCTATCTAAAACCAAATCCAACTCGTTGACAACCCTAAATATTGGACTTAGGGAGGGAGTGAGAGGGAAATAATTTGTTAAAAAATTAAATAATTTAGAAAATTAAATAAATAAATTTTTAAACTTACTAAAATAAATATATAAACAACTTCCTGGCTGGGCTAGAAACAAGATCTAGGCTCGATTGATGCGACATCAAACTTGGACTTAAATATGTTCTGTTGATATAAGGATGAAGCCCAACCCGAACCTTACCTAACCCGTGAATAGTTTTATTCCCAACCTAGACACTAACCTATTAATAAATTATAAATTAATTGAATAATTTAGTAAATTAAATAAATAGAAATCTATGGATAATAATTTACTCAATTTTGTAAAATAAATAAATGAATAATCTAATTTAATAAAATAAATAAATACCCAAGCTATCTAGAACCAAACGCGACCCATTGACAACCCTAAATATTAGACTCGGGGCAAAAAGAGAGGGAGGGAAATGATTTGTAAATAAAATTAAATAAATAAAATCTTTTAACTTAATAAAACCATTACTCTCAAGATCTAGGGCCGATAGTCAACTCGGGCTCAGACTTGGGCTTGAATATGTTCTACTGGTATAAAGGCTAAGCCCAAACCGAACTTCGCACGGCCTGTGAATAGGTTTAATCCCAACCGAGACCTAAGCTATTAATAGCACTAAATATTAGGCTTGGAAAGAGAAAGTGAAATACCTTATTAGTTAAATAAATTAGTAATTACTTGAATAAGTAAATGAAATAAATAGAAATCTATGGATAATAATTTATTTATTTTTGTAAAACAAATAAATCAATAATTTTGTTATCAATAGAGTGTTGATAACCCTAAAACTTAAACTCTTTAGAGGGAGAAAAAATTTTGTTAGTAAATAAAATTAGTTTATTAAATTAAATAAATAAAATGTATAGATAACAACTTAATTAATTTAGTAAAATAATAAATCAATAAATAAGTACCCGAGCTATCTAAATCAAAATCCGACCCGTTGACAACCCTCAATATTAGACTTGGTGAGGGATAGAGAGAGGGAAATAATAAGTTAATAAAATTAAATAGTTTAGTAAATTAAATAAATAAAACTTTTAGTTTACTAAATTAAATATATAAATAAATTTTCAAGAAAATGAGAGAGTAATAAAGAATATTAATTTCATGGTTGGGTTGGACTCAAGATCTAGGTCTGATGGTTGGGTCGGGCTCAAACTTAGGCTTGAAAAAATTCTATTGATATAAAGACAAAGCCCAGCTACCCAACCCGTAAATAGGATTAATCCCAACTTGTTAATAAATTATTGATTTAGAATAAATTAGTAAATTAAATAAATAGAAATCTATGGATAATAATTTACTTAATTTTGTCAAATAAATAAATGAATAATTTAATTTAAAAAAATAAATAAATAACAAGCTACCCCACTAATTGAAAACCCTAAATATTAGACACGAAGCGGTAAGAAAGTTAGTTGTTTRTTAATGGCACCATTGTAAATAGTTACATGTTCAACAACAAATATGAAAGAGAGATTAGAGAAACAAAGAATAAAAATTTCCTTATCACAATCTGAGGTTTATATGATGGTTGGGCATAGACTTGGCCTTGAATAAGTTCTATTGATATAACAGCAAAGCCCGACCTGAACATGGCCCAACCAAAGAAAAGGTTTAATCCCAACCGATACCTATACTATTGATGCCCTAAATATTAGGCTCGTGAGAGAGAGAGAGAGAGAGAGAGAGAGAGAGAGAGAGAGAGAGAAATAACTTATTAGCGGGCCTGATGTGGGCCCAGGCCCGGGCCGGGCTGAAATGATCACCCCTACTTGACAACCCTAAATATCTAACTCGAGCAAGGAGAGAGAGAGAAAGAGAGAGTTTATAAAAGTAAATAAATTAGTAAATTCAATAAATATTTTTTAACTTAATAACATAAAAATGAGAAAGAAACAAAGATCATGGATAATGATTTACTTAATATTGTCATAAATAAATGGATAATTATCCAAGCTACCCCACCCGTTGAAAACCCTAAATATTGGACATGAAGCGGTAAGAAAGTGAAGGAAATAATTAAATAATCTAGTAAATTAAATCAACAAAATCTTTTAACTTATTAAAATAAGTATATAATTAGGCAACAAAATAAGAAAGAATAGCTAGTTGTTTATTAATGGTATCATTGTAAATAGTTACATGTTATTAAAAAGAGATTACTAGAAAATGAGAGAGAAAGAAAGAGTAAATATTTCCTTTTCGCAATCCGAGCTTTATATGATGGCCGGGCACTGGCTCAAAATCTAGGCCTGATGGTTGGCCCAAGCTTAGATTTTGGCATGAATTAGTTCTATTGATATAAAGGCAAAGCCCGGTCTGAACGTGGCCCGACCAATAAAAAAGGTTTAATCC